CTAACATTTTGCCTAAATGTTCTTCTTTTCGGTCATTCTTCTCTAAAGCTTCCTCTTGAGCTTTCTTGATGCTTTCCACAATCGTTGAGACAACTTCTATTGATTGCTTTGATTATCTTTCACTTCAATCTTCTAGATTAAGTCAGATGTTATATCGAACTTGGTTCTCTGAACCACGCAACATACTTATCTTATTCGGACTCAATTTGATATGACCACTAGGGTCAAAATAACAATCATCTTCTTAATCATTACCGAAATGATGGTAATGACAAATATGAACAAAACGAAATCGACTAGTAGCTTCTTGGTAACCTTGTGACATTCCCTTATCTAAGTGTGAGTCCTGTGCTTCCGGTATTATAGGCCTCTACTACCATTCACACCTACTCATACTCGTCCCAAGTATTGTCTCACAATTTTCCAAGTCACCATTCAAGAATTTCACATAATCATTTAACACATCAAATAACAAAACTCGGGGTTATTTTTTTCTTGAAACGATTACATAGGCGTTTAAGTGCACCCTGTACTATGCCTCTAATAGGCTACACATCGTGGTACTATCTACATGGCTACTCAATATCTTTACTTTCAGATATAAAATCCTCACTTATGATTCCTTGCATTATCACCTTCTTTGTCAAGGATCATCTGGAATGCTCTTGCCTTTGGCTTTGGTGGCATATTTAGATTTATAGCTCATTCCCTCTTCGGGTAGTCTTGCTTGAAGTGCCCTTCCTCATTACATCCATAACACTCCCTTTTTTTGAATGTACACTCATTGGCATAATGTCCAGTCTTTCCACACTTCAAACATGTCACCTCCTCACCACATTTTCCAAAGTGGTTCTTCTTGCACTTATTGCACCATCTTACTTCACCTATTCCTCCTTTAAACTTCTTCTTCAAACCAGACTTAGTAAATTTCCCCTTCTCGTTGGACCTTGACGATCCTTCAAATTTCCTTTTCTCACCAACTTCAGCTCTCTCCATACCCTTTTCCCTTATCTGGGTCTCAACATGCTTAGCTGCCCAGACGGAGGCTTTCAATGTGGTTGCTTGCTTGTCCGGTGGACCAAAGTCCGTTGGATTAGCAAACTTGTTGACCATGGAGAGTTTGGTTGGAGATAGTTACGGAATAAGCTTCATCTTCTCCGTAAAATTTGTATCATGCTCGGTGACACTCATTCTTCCGTTCTTCAGGTTCCGGAACTCATTATTGATCTCTAAAACATCATGCCCAGAGTAGTACTGTAGTTTTAGTTGCACCAAAAAGTCTTCCCAACACATCTTGCTAGCTTCTCCTTTGGGAATAGTATAGCTAGTAGCTTCCACCAGTTTAGTACCCCCAATCTTTAATAATGTAATCACGAGGGCGGTCTTCTGTTTGTTTCTGCAGTCGCAACTTGTAAATATCATCTCCATCTCGGAGATCCAATCCATAACTTCCACCGGTTTTGGGCTCCCAAAGAGTTTTGGTGACTTGGATGCCATGAAATCCTTGTACTTGCATCCATGTCCGTCATTTCCACCATATTGGTTATTCCTTCTAACCACTGGCAGTTCAGCTTGACCAACGGTCCTACTGCAGTCTCCTTCTTCCGACTGTCTATTATTCAGTTCGGGCTGTTCAATAGGCATCGAAGCTTCATCCCTATTATTAATCAATAGTTGCCTCATTTCTTCCCTCTGTTCGTTCATCATAGCCTGAATCATGGCTTGTACTCCAGCCATCATGATTGGCTTAGGCGCAACTTCTACTATTAGCACCTGCTCAATCACTTAGGGACGAGGCTGTTGATTCTTGTTTCCATATGCATTTCCGACTCCACTTCGAGTTCTCACCTTGTTGATCTATACACCAAAGTAATTCAATTTAGATATTTATTTACAATAGATGTTTAAATCTTCCTTATCACTCCGAAACAATACATACTAGTTCTAATATCGTAGTCGAAGGCTTAGAATCTAGAACACATAAGGTTTCCAGATCCAGTCGACAATAGACCATAGATCGACCAAAATAATAGCATATAAGGCATCTTTATAGGTATAATATAAAACATTTAGCACAAAAACATTTAGAACAAATAATAGCATCTAAGGCATCTTTATAGCTATAACATAAAGCATTTAGAACAAATAATAGCATCTGGTCGACAATAGACCACAGATCCGAGGGGGCAGTTGTCTGAGATCTACTGGGGTGACGTGGAGCATATGAGACCTAGCATCTGAACGTTGCGTGTTCCTTCACTCTGCACAGGGCATTCCTCGGACTTACTTGCAATTAACCATCCTGAATTCAAAAATTCATAACTCTCATATACGAGCTCCATTTTTTATGTTCTTTATATCCATGCATAGGAGGGTCCGTACTCTACAACTTTTGTTTATACTTCGCTAGCTAATTTTGATTTTATTTTTAAACTTATATATTTAATAGGCCGGGACATGAAAAGTTTGTTAGAAATTCCTAACTTCGTCATCCGACGTCTGGTTTCGTCCGTCTTTTTACCGTTGAGCTACAATTAATGAGATCTTCAATTCTCGTTTGGGTTGTGTCAGCTAAAAATCGGTTGATCTAATATTCAAACTTCGGGCTGCATACTACTAAGCCAAATCTTAGAAAATCCATAACTCCCTCATACGAAGTCAATTTGGACGTTCTTTTTATGCACGCTCTTGGTTTAACGTGTACTACGACTCTTGTTTACATTGATAAGGCTACAACGTATTGTATCGTAAACTCACTTTTTACGTCATACAATGTTATGTCAGTTTTGTCGCGAAACTTCGACATGTCATAACTTCTTCGTTATAACTTGGATTTCTATGTTCTTTATATCTCCAGAATCCTTGTCACGACAACTACAACTTTCTTCGTAGATATCAGGTTTATCTAGGATTTTATTTTTGATGGTTATTTTCATTCTTAATTTATTATATATTTATAAATACTTATAAAGCACATAAATTCATATAATACTTAAATAATTCATCTTTATTACTTCAAAATATGTTACATTTGTTGGCCCTAACTATTACATCATCACATCAATGCTTGGCGTCAAAACACGGGGTTACATTTATTTTGGATCCTCCCTATCCAAGCAACATGTCAAGGATACGATCGCACTCCAGAAAGTCTCTAGCTGCAAAATAGGTGTGTTATTCTATATATTTAAGTCGTTGTAGTAATAGAATGGAACCAAGATCATTATAGGTTGCATGAGCACATAAGAATTTTGTTTAAGTCTTCTACTCCTATATTCATGTGTTTATAATGCCCTATAATATAACAAAAGTATTAGATCCATCCGTTCATGATTACTTACACTACTATTCCAAATTGATTTGAATCTTTTTTGTTTAATTAGGATTTTTCGATTTTAGGATTTTAGGGTGCGGAATTATTATTTTTGCTTATTCTAGATATTATCGTTTTTACTTATGCCCTAAGCTAGGGTTTAATAACCACAAACCCTTAAAAACAAAATTGGAAACAAAAGCTAGAAATCGACTGGACGCGACACGCCTTCTGTAGGGAGTGACATGCCCTCTCCGATTAAGTCCATTGGAACGCTAACACTCTCCACAAGTTCGCTTACTTTTCTTTCATGAAACAAATTTGAAGTATTTCGAACTTTGGATATTCCTTCTTCTAATAAGACTTTAAATATAAATATGTAAATTATATTTAATTATTGTTTATAACTATAATTTATAAATATGCATATTAAATAATATTAATTATTAACATTGCATGCTAACATGTTAATCAGAAATAACAAATGACCTTAAATTGAACATTTGTCCTCATATACAAATATATATATATATATATATATATATATATATATATATATATATATATATATATATATATATATATATATATATATATATATATACACTTAGGTTATTTTGTTTTTACTAGCTATTGTGTGCCAGAATGCACAGATCTGGACCAACGGATGGAATTAATCAGTGGACATGATTTGAGAGTGTATGATATTACAATAGGATTGCATGTACCATATAATCACACAAAATTTAGCAAAAGGGTATTTTGGACAATTAACTACATTTAAAAAAGGAAAATTTTGGATTTTTAGGGATAATTAATTCTCCAAATTTTAAAAATCTGATTTTTTTTTTTTTAATTTATTCAATTTTAATTCTAACGTAATTTATAAACCTACCCAATTTTATTCTGTCAGAATATTTTTTTAGAATGATGTTTTTCGGAATTTTATTCTATTAGAATATTATTGAAGAATAACGAAATTCTTGAATCGGATGTTGAAAAATACCAACATTCTAATATATTTTTATGCATCCGAAATTAAATACAAGTTCATACATATTCTTAAAGACTAAAAGCCTTATACATTTTAATATAATTATACATATTCTAAAAGAATATCAACAAAATGAATAAAATTCTTTAAAAAATAGCAATATTCTTAAAATTGTGAGTATGATCAAACTTTATTCTTTCTTCAAGTTATTCCTATTAGGTATTCAACGCATTCTTCCAGCCATCCTATCATAAATACAAAAAAAAAAAAAAAAACTAATAATTGTTAAAAACATGTTACTTGCAATTAACTATCACTTTATTTATTCTGTTAGAATACATAGAATATGACGTAATACATAGAATACATTCTGGCAGAATAAATAGATTTTATTCCGCCAGAATACATTCTAACAAATTATATAGAATACATTAAAAAGTATCGTATTTACCGCTAATATAATGTTGTTGAACTCGATTGCAAATCTTCATCTAGTATGATCAATATTTAATTCCTTCTCCATGTTATTATGAAATAATAAGATGCATTACTCATTAGTATTACCAGTTAAGAAAATATATATGTTGTTAACAAAAAATATTTTGACAGAATGCATTTATACATTCTATGCTTTAGAATGTTTATACATAAACTACATTATGCTAGAATATACATTCTATGCATTTATTCATTCTATGCCCTAATTTTAGGAGCATTTACTATGGTTGTAACATCTACACCAGGAGGCTTCCCATGGTTTATCCATCTACCCATTGTGAAAAGACATAAATACCCTTTACCCATGTTTATGAAAAGACATAAATACCCTTTTCAGATTTTAAAAAAATAGATAACCTTGGATGATCAGCCTCAGTAAGCTCCAATAGCAGCCCATTTTTCGTGCAGAAATAGATCCTTCTATATTCACATTTTATAATATGAATTTGATCTAATTAATTTGTTGGTTTGAAAATAAAATTATTTGATCTTACTCACTCTGTATTATGTGATATAACACAATATTTGATGAACATGGTTGTGCTAGAATCTTGAATTGGTGTGTACTCAATCCGTATCGGCTGTGAATTCTCACTTTGTTGCATCTGCATTTTAGCAAATTAAAAAATAAAAATGTATTTTTTTTGATATAATATCAGATTAATGATTAAAGAGACAACAAGACAAGAATCAAGACTCCATGGAAGAACCTGGTATAAGATTCCTGCTTCAGAAAGAGCAAGAACTATGTGATTGATCCAGAACACAGAAACTGCATAACCATCTGGTACAGGGAGTTCATGAGGTGCAATCACCCACTGCACACCATTCCAAAATCTCTCATAGATCGAAGAACACATCCATGGCTATCGCCAAAGTCATATGTGAAGAATAGGCTGGTCGATTTCACGAATTTGGGGATTTCGATGAAGACGATTTTAGATTCTCGTTGGATTTAAGTGAAGAAGGAGTTTTAGCAAAAGAGATCGATTCGCGAGGCTGGACATTTTTTTCTCTTTTCAATCGTGATCTTCTCATCAAGGATTAAGTTAAATCAAAGGATAATGAGATGCATGCTTCTGATTCTATCACCAGTTCATTACGGAAGTTGTTCATTGATGAACCAGAAGAATCTTTTTCGTGTTCATCATCGGAATCCGACGAATTGGAAGCTCTACCTTTTGGAACATTCTTTGTGTAGAGGCCTAAGACGGAAAGTGGATCATCACCTGTTATGCGTGTGGAGTAGTTCTATCGGGTCTATACTGAAGAAGAAGAAGAAGAAGAAGAAGAGTAGTTCTATCGGGTCTCTATGTGTGTGTGGGTACCGTATGAGATGAAGAGGGAGCGTAAAACCCTAATATGGTGGGGGTGAGTATTTAAAACTGATATCCTGATTTAAAGGGGGATATTATTTGATGAACCAGAAGAATCTTCTTCGTGTTCATCATCAGAAGCCGACGAATTCGAAGCTCTACCTTCTGGAACATTCTATGTGTGGAGGCCTAAGACGGAAAGTGGATCATCACCTTTTATGCGTGTGGAGTAGTTCTATCGGGTCTCTACTGAAGAAGAAGAGTAGTTCTACCGGGTCTCTATGTGTGTGTGGGTACCATATGAGATGAAGACGGAGCGTAAAACCCTAATCTGGTGGGGGTGAGGTTTTAAAACTGATATCCTAATTTAAAGGGGATATTATTTGATTTTATCAATTTACCATAATTAATTATAGTATAGATTACTATTATACCCTTATATTTATTATTAATGATTTATTTTTTCTTAAATTCCTATTGGTGCATTCATGCACACAATAGTTGCCGGAAACATTTGTACATAACTCTCTCTCTCTCTCTCTCCCTCTCTCTCTCTCTCTCTCTCTCTCTTTCTATATATATATATATGTACATAGCTCTCTCTCTCTCTCTCTCTCTCTATATATATATATATATATATATATATATATATATATATATATATGAGATAATTATAACATGTTTCCTCAAATGTTTAAATAAAACATTATCAATCTTAAAATGACTAGTCTCTCCCACTCTAATATTATACGAGAGGTTTAAGGAGGCTTCATTGATCCCTAATGAAGTTGGTTTTTATATACTCATTGATTACCATTCTCACTGCCTTTTTGCATTTTGAGAGTGAAGTTATAGAAAGGGTTTGATAGGATAATGTTCAAGTTAAAAGTATTAAAATCCCATTTTTATAGTTAAAATGTGAATTGTATGCTTTCCATGAAAAAACACATTTTCTTTACAATATTGTAACGCCCGTAGATTATGGCTAGTCAATTTAGAGACGATAAGCATCAAAAACGACTTTTTGATAGAAGATTATACAGAATGAATAATCTTAACTCAGTTGTAGTATATATCACAAGGTTTCCATTGATATAAAGAACGCTGAAATCCGAGTTATAACGAAGAAGTTATGACCTGTCGAAATTTCGCGACAAAACCGGCACAACGCTGAATGACATAAAAAGTGAATTTATGTTAGATTGACATTTAGCCTTGGAAATCTAAACAAAAGTTGTAGAATTCGTTAAACCATGAGAGTGGATAAAAAGAACGTCCCAATCTGACTTCATAAGAGGAAGTTATGATTTTTATAAGTTTCGACTTAGCGGTATGCAGCCCGAATACTCGATTTGAGATCGAGTGGTTTTTAGCCAAAACAATCTAAATGAGAATCGAAGATCTTGTTGATAGTAGTCCAACGGTAAAAGGACATACGAAAACGGACATCGGATGAAGAAGTTGTGAATTTATAACGGAGTTTTCGTGTCCCGGCCTACTAAAAATAATATAATAAAAATAAATTCAAAATTAGCCAACAAAGTCTAAATGAAAGTTGTAGAGCATAATCTCACCTACGCGTGGATATAAAGAACGTCGAAAATGGATCTCGTATGCGAAAGTTATGAATTTTTGAAGATCATGGCACGCATACCAAAGCTTATCCGAAGCGTACGCCCAGCGTACTTGGAAATTACACCCAGCGTAATCCCAAACCCAGTAGCGTATAAATAGAAACCGATATCAGCCATTTTCTTTGCTCATTTTCTTTCTTCTCTCTAAGTTTTTGCCTCGATTTGCGTACCAATTATATCCCGAAGCCCCGGTATCATTCCCGAGCCCTAAAGCAAGTTCAGAAGTCCCGAAGATCCCAAGAAGTGAGATTCCCGAGCCGAAGTCCTGCCCGCGAGGAGCTCGCTTTTTGTGAAGATCTTTCAGATCCACCCAAGAATACTACTTCTACAAGCTGTAGTGCTATCCGATCATCTTCTGATCAAGTGAGTGTATAGTCACTTTTGTCTTACACATAGATATGAAGTATTTTATAAAATATGTGCTATGTGTATATATATTGTTGTTTATATGTGTGAGTGTGTGGTTACTTTCTTCTAACACATAAATATCAAGTATTCGCTATGAAATACATGCTATGTGTTTATATAGTGTTGTTTATTTGAGATAAGTATGGAATAGATGTTTTATATGGTTTTTTAAATGAGTTAAACTGTATATGTATTTTATATCTACTAATATGTTGGGTAGAACATGGGTAGATGAGATAGTTGGTATGTGATAATTGATGAGGTAAATGATGAGGTATGTAAGATGATTAAGAATGATATTGACAGATGCACCGATTAGAGAATGTCGTAATACTAGCAGATGCGCTTAAGAATAATATTGTTAGATGCACCAAATAGAGAATGTCATAATACAAGCAGATGAGCTTATAGGATAATGTCGGCAGATGTGCTTAAAAGAGAATGTCATTAACTTGGCAGTCACGCCTCATAGTGTCTGATGTAATCTTGGCAGAGGCACTTAAAGGATGATGTTCGTAGATGCGCCTTATGTAGCAATCGATTTTGTGTCAATTCTTTAGGTCAATCCTTAGGAACCTTGAGAAATAAAGAAGATAATGGGGATGGGTAATTGGGTTGTTTGATGGTTGAAAATAATAATTATATTATTGTGGGTCGAAAACCCTATATGCTCACCAGGCTCCCAAGCCTGACCCACTCAGTTTTCTTTGTATCACATGTATCAATACGAAGACATATTTCACTGAGAGATTAAAGGAGATGTAAATCATTAGTGTAAATAAATTTAAGTTTTGTTTATGCTTATGTGTCTGTATCGGAACATGACATCCCGAGATTTTGTTATATAATGAAAATACTTTTCTTTAAGAAATGCTTTGATAAATTCTTATCATATTTTGTTTTGGGGACAAATTCCACAACAATTTTCTTTAAAAGATTACTCTGATTTTTAAAACAAAGCATAAACAAATCGGCCTTTTCTGGCCGTGAAATTAGGGATGTCACAAATATGTTGATGGTGCATGTGCGGTTTTCCGGAACATCAACATGAGAGTATAAGTAGAAATTTATGTAGGGCTAGCAAATCTCAAGCGTAACTTAAAGTAAAAATGACGTGATTATTGCATGGTTGATTCACCACTTGTTTTATGACCCATGAGATCCCTATCATATAATTGAGATGAGCATGATCTGAGATTGACATGCCATTGCTAGTCAATGGATCCCAAAAGTTCTAGGACTTTCATTAAAACTGAAATTGGCAAATAGTATTGCCTTCCTAAATGACTTCATAGTGTGTTTACAACAACCATTTACACATCATAAAGAAAAATATGGATCCTTTCCTTGGGTAAGTTAGTTTTAAGGATTAATCAAACTAACTAAAACTCTCTTTTATAGATGTGTCTTCCTAATAACAACCATAAGCTTCCTCCTCATCTTCCACCACCACCTCACTCCAAATTCTTGGTCCTATCAATTCTATCAAGGGAGAAACTCATTGGAAAAAATTACCTGGATTGGATCTACACATTGAGGATCGCCTTAAGGTTTGAGAACTTGGAGTATTTTCTCGATGATGATGTCCAAGAACTATTTGAAACTGATAATGAAGAAGTGTTAACATACAATAAGCACTATGATGAGTCGACTAAGGTTGCTTGCGTTATCTTAGTGACCATGTCCTATGAGATCCAAAAGGGCTTTAAGAACTGGGGTGCTTTTGATTTACACTACCAACTCAAGGAAATGTTCCAAGAGAAAGCTAGACAAGAATGACTCGACTTCATAAAGTCCCTAATGATGTGTAAACATCAAAATAGGGAATCTGTTTGTATGTATGTTCGAAAAATGAAATCGTAAATACATATACTTGAGAATTTATTTGTTTATATTGTAAAGGAGTCTGGAAAAGACCTTAATGGAGATACATATCATGTTGAAAACTACCTAAGCAAGTATGCTAAAAACTTGTAGCTCTAATACCATTGCTCCCATCTTAGCCATTAACCTCGGTAATGCTAAGAGGAAAAAGGTTTCTCATCTCATGGGAAAGGGAAAGGCCAAGGTTTAATAGATCGACCAAAGTACTAAGAGAACGGTCAATTCGGACATAGCCCCTACCACTGACCCTAATGATTCAATTGGTTTCTATTGCTAACAGAATGGGCATTGGAAGCATAGCTACCCTAAGTACTTAGAGGACCTGCAGATTTGATGAAAAACAAAGTCAAAGGGTGTGGCACTTCGGGTACGTTTATGATTGAACTCCATAGCTTATCAACTTCTAATTCTTGGGTCCATGATATTGGATGCGGTACTCAAATTTGATCGAATATGTTGGGACTAAGGGAAAGTATGTCGATGAAACATGGGGCCCTGAACCTGATCATAGGAAACAGGCGCACTATATATACATGGATCAGGAATTATGAGCCCATTTTTAGTAGTGGTGTTTATATATATAATTAAACTGTTGCTACTCGTCTAATATGACACGAAAAAATTATTTCTTTTTAAGTATTGTTCAAGTATGAATTTCAGTTTTCATTTGATGATAAAAATGGTGATATTTTAGTTTATAAAAATGGTTGTTTTATTTTCAAAGCTAGTCCTTGCAATGATATATACATGATAATGTTGTTTGTGTTAGTAAATTGTATAATCTAATCTTAAACTTTGATTCTTCCAAAAATGTTTTAGATATGTCTTTTCTGTGGCATTGTCACCTTGACCATATAAACACGAAATGCATCGCCAAGATCCAAAGCAGAAGGGATTTTGGAATCATTTGACTTAAAATTGGATGATGTATATGAATCTTGCTTACTTGGCAAGATAACAAAAGTGTCATTCACAAGTAATTGTGAGAATGTCAAGGATCTATTAGACCTTATCCACACAGATGCTTGTCGACAACTTAAATCCAACACAATACATGACAAATGATACTTTGTGACTTTTATTGTTGATTTTAGTAGATATGGTTGTATCCATTTAATCAAATAGAATCCATAAACTTTTAAAGTTTTTAAAAAGTTTCAAAATGAAGTACATAATCAATTGGGCAAGAATATCAAGATTCCCCACTCTAATAGAGGCAGACAGTATCTAAGTCTTGAATTCATGGCTCATTTAAAGGTATATTGAATAGTTTCAAAATTTTCTCCTCCCAGAACGCCAAAGATGAA